TAGATTGCATTGTAGAAGTATTCCTTCTAACCATGTTTCTTTTTTGCTTTTTGTTCTTTATTTTGTGACATTCCCACACATGCTGCCTTTAGAAGTGATTTATGCGTAGTTAAGAGTTCAATGCATCGTTTGTTAGAGAACTTGTTCAGGGTTAAATTGTTAAAGCAAACATTTAACTTGGTAGGGAGGGATTGCAGACATTTACAGTGTTGGTGGGTGAATCTGTTGACAGGATTAATCTTTGTCATGTGCTCAGACATCAGGTCTTTAGGAAAGTGAGCAGAACTGAGATGTTCTACATATGATCTACAGTAAGTTTGGTTCCTCACAAGTGTTGTAGAACATAACAGCCATGTGAAAGACAGCGCAGTGGGCCGAAGAGAGGAAGTGTGAAGAAGTTTAATTTGAGGACATCACCCTGAGCAGGCTATTCCCATAATGAAACATGGCAGTGGCAGGATTATGCTGTGGTGTTGCTGTGATTGTCAGGCTGCTCAGAGCAGATAGCAGTGTCGTTTTTGACAGTTTTCTTAGTTTTAGTCTTCAGGATGAAAATTATTATTAGTTTTAGTCGCAATTTGGTCATTACCAAATGTGATGGTTTGTCAATTGTAGTTGACTAAAACTCAAAAAGGTTTTAGTCTAATTTTAGTCAGTTGTATGTTGTATTTCAAAAAACAGTTAACCTTTGCAATTTCAAATAACAACCAGATCTAGACTGACAGCTCTTGCCAAGATACTGCAATTGCTGGAGATACAATGCTGGTATGCAGTTCAATCTGAAAAACTCACATGAAGAGAAAAGACAATTAGAAAAAATTTATTGACACAATTACTCTTTGGTGCTCAGACCTCGGCAGGAAACAAAGAACTTAATTTTTTATCGATATGGATGAACAGGAGTAAAGAATAGGGCTGTTTCCCCCAGGCCTGAAACTGGTGGTGGAGTGGAGATGGATGAAGTTGGTCAGTCTGTAGACTGCTGGCTAGCGAGACTGTATGCTGAGCTTATGGGGAGATCCAGTGGACTGCGTGGGCTAATACTAGAGCTTACTCAGGGACCTGGAAGATGGAAGTCCAGCTTGGATAACACAGAGAGGAAAAACTCCCCGTTGGGAAGAAACCTCTGGAAGAACCAGGCTCAACATGGCGGTCTTCTGCCGGACCAGTCAAGATGAGACGCGGAATGCAGATGAAACCCGATGAAGCTTTAGCTGCAATGGTGGAGGAGGGGCTGGAGGTGGGTTGAAATGGGTCATCCGAAAGAAGTCAGACAGCTTGTCCGCCACCTGCGCACTTAGAAGCAGACCAGCAGATCAGAGGCCTTTAACATTGACTTGGATGCTGATTGGCTTTGGCAAATATTTGAAAGATCCCCCCAAAAACCTATGAATGGGGCATGTCAGTAAAGTGAAACAAAGCTGCAGACATGATGAGATAGTAGAAAGATTCCTGATCCAACGAGAAGTAGTCTAAACCAAAAGAAAGTCAGAACGCAGCCCTTAAACGGTGAACCTGGGATGATGTACAATGGCAAACTGCTGACCAGGCAGGAGACACTGATGCTTGAAAAATAACGATGCAGTGATAACTGTGGTGATAACAGTAATAAAAGTAGTAACAGGCTGTGGCTGAGCGCCCTGCCCGCCATGACCGCAGACAAGCTTAACGAAGCAATGAGTTGAGGGTGCGAGCAGAGAACACGCACGTGCAGCAATTAGCTGGGGATATAATACGCGAGGATCGATGAGCTGAGAGCGAGAAGGGACGCGATGATCTAGACTAACCCACAAGCGGCGATGACCGAAGACAAAAAAAGCAAGGTGTGATGAATAAGTGTAATGTTCAGCGGAGATACATAAGCCATGATATGCTAAGGGGTTTGAAGCGAAGCCTTGTGATGCGAACGCATGAAATGGATTTGGGTGTGGTATACCTGAAGCAATGAATTGAGGGCCGTGATGCACCTGCTGCGATGAGTAAGTGTGATCCGCCTGAAGCAAAGAGCTGGTTGGCCGTAATGCACTGCTGCGATGGAAAAGAGCGCAATGAGTGCCAACGCAATGGGAAAAGCAGGATACGTCTGCCGCAATGAGTATGGGCGCCATGAAGTGCCCGCTGTGATGCTAGAAGGCGGTAAGAAATGCCCGCCACAGTGTTGCCACCTAAACACCTACAATGATGGGCACCATGAGGCACCCGCCGCGAAGGTAGAAGGCGCCCTGAGGCACCTGCCGCAAAGGTAGAAGCCGCCATAAGGCGCCTGCAGTGAGGGAGAAGGGCACATAGGCTTCCGCCTCTAAGGATTGAGGGCACCATAATCATCTGCAGTGAGGGAAAAGGGCACATAGCACCCGCCGCTAAGGATGGAGGGCACCATGCGTGCCCCGGCAGCCTTTGGTAAAGCGCCCCGCACAGCTTCGGCGGTAAGTAGATGCGCCACGCCCACCTTCGGCGGTAGGAAAAGGCAGCGCTCGCACCTCCAGCAGTAGGAAGAGGCGGCACGTCTGCAGCAGTACATGAAAAGGGCACCATAACTGCCTGCCGCAGTGATATAGGGCGTCATAACACATGCAGTGATGAGAAAGTATGCCATAAAGCGCTTGTTGCGATGGATGGAGGAGCCTAGGGCACCAGCCACGATGAACTCGTCTAAGGTGCAGATTTAGATAGAACAATGCGCCGAGGGGAATGCCTGAGACTGTTCTGACGTTCAGACATGCAGTTTAAGATGATCTGAAACTAGAGCAGAGATTAATGAATGCACTGAGCTACATCACCAACCAGACAACAGGCGCAGAAGACACATGAGCTTCTTCTGATCACGAAATAATAGTAACAATGGTGAACTGCCAAAAGAAATTCCGCAACGAAAATGAGCATGACAATTAAAATGTGATAAAATGAGTCTGCTAGGGAATCAATGCGTCTCAACCCCAACGCACCAATGGAGATGATAGCCGATGACTCTAAAGAGAAGGCTGCAGCTTAATTTATCATTTAAAGTGACGAGACATCCACTAGAAAATTCACCCCACCTATGCAGTGAAGACTTGATTGAATGTTATGTGATAAGCCATATCTAAAAGAATTTTTTTCTTTTTTATGATAGAAACCACTGAAAATCGCTGACAATTACAGTAGATCACCTTTAGCCTGGTGAAATTAATTAGTTAATGGATTTATTGAGTCACATTAAGGAATTTGAGTTCCAGTAACGAGATTTATTCATCTAATAAATGATGCAGGATTAACTGGTGTTGCTGATTGACTGGCAGACAGTGTATGTGGTTAGACCGAAGCATGATTCAAATATATTTTAAACATATGTTCAAATGATTTAATAAAGTCGTTGGGAATAGGAAACAACTAACTTTTCACAAAACTTTGGTTCTAAATTCAGCTTCCTTAAAAAGAAATCTGAGGCAAGCATGAGTTGAAATCAAAAACGGACTGAAGAAACTCCATCAGGGCAGCGCACATCTGCTGATTAAACCACAATGACGTAATTAACCTAGAACATGTATAAAACATGTATAAAAATCGGGGACGTGAAAGCAAAGATCAGAGACTGATGTTAATTAACGATGACAAGCTGTAAGCTGAAGAAGCATGTGCATGTGATATGAGCTGAAGAAAAGAGCTGAGGGTATGAATGAGGAAACACTAGAGCCTTGGAGCAATACGTCTCACCTGAAGAGAATCAGTGTCAGCGCGCAGAACGAAGAGCGAGCCATCTGACTGCTGATGCTGAAACACAGAAATGTTTTGAGACGGGGGAACAGGGAGTGGCGGAGCCGCGAATCTCTGCAGCATTACGTGGATCAACAGGTGTGTCAGAGGATAGGATCCAAACAGCTGAGGATCCAAAGCTAACTTCGAGTTGAAACGGGTCATCCAAATGACGTCAGACGTCCGCCACCTGCGCACTTAGAAACAGACCAGCAGATCGGAGGCCTTTAAGATGGACTTGGATGCTGATTGGCTTTGGTGGAGGTGTGGTCAAAGCTGATTGATTGAGTCGCAGGTGATGTAGGAGAGCAATTGGTTTCTTCAATTGAACCTCCGCCTATGCTCCATTTTATTATTGCTGTTGGGTAGAAAACTTTGATTTATAGAATTCAAGTAAGCCTTTTTATGAATTAATGCCCTACTTTATACAAAAGTGTCTCACAAAAGTTGTACAAATAGCAGATCTAGTTCAACACATCATATTTGTTAATATAGCAGAGAGACAATAACACAATTTACAATACATTAATAGTTTTAGAATTAATTATGCATTAAAACAAATCCAGAGAGAATCTAAATAATTGCCTTGTAATGCCATGGCAATCCAGACCTGAATTGAATGATTATGCTAACTAAAATGCTGAAATATTTAAAGGAAACAGAGAAAATGTTTTAGTGACAATGCAAGAAACATTTACATGGCGTTAAAAAAAAAAAGATAGAAACAAGAACTATGAAAAATAAATATTCAGAATATTCAAGATCTATATACCTTTTCATCTGGCTCTTTATAAAAAAAAAAACAGTATGCAATTAAATATTTGCTTTGGATATAATTTAGGGATTCCTTTTGGTAGAAATTAAAGAAGGTTTAGCATCACCTCTTGTGAGCTGGAAGAAATACAATCTTGATAGTTAGACAAAGGGATTTTTATGCTTGGCAGAGGATGATCATATAAGAGCTCATATATTTATGAAGTAGCGAGGGCAGGAAGAGCTATACAGCTGAGAGTAAACCATCATTGTGGGAAAAAAATAAGATTTTATATAATTTACCTTATATTTCACTGTTATGTAATGTTTGTTTGGTTTGCAAGCAAAATCCCAAACAAATGTTTAAAAATATGTTTAAGATTGGGGTTTGCATACTGTGGGTGTTTTATTCATTCAGTGGCAGGACTCCCTTGTAGGTTGGTAAATTTAGACTTTTACTTCCTTTAAACTGAAACAGATTTAAGGCTCATAGAGTTTGATGTTGTTCTGAGCAGAACCGACAGCTGCTGAGGGATCGCTTCATGGTGGAGCTGGTTGAAGGTTCCAGGAAACTGCGTCATGTCTTCCTCTTCACAGACCTGCTGCTCTGCACCAAACTAAAGAAACAGGCTGCAGGGTGAGTCCTGGTCAGAGATGCTCATGATCAGTGAATCTCTTTCTACATGTTGCTTGTTTTATATCAGAAGATGAAGAATCGTTATTCAACCTTAAGTTTAAGATACTTTGAGATGAAGGTGCATCACTGAGGAATCTTTAAGTTTTGTTATTGATATGTCATCTTTAAGAAAAGGGCAACAGTATGACTGCAAATGGTACATCCCACTGGCTGACGTGACCTTCCAAACCATTGATGACTGCGAGTCCTGTCCCATCCCTCTGGTCCAGGAGGAGGAAATTGATGCGATGAAGATAAAGATATCCCAAATCAAGAATGAAATTCAGAGAGAAAAGGTGAGAACTCCCCTCAGGGTACCAATGGGGCAAAATAAAAAATACATTAAAAAGTAACACAACAGAAAAGAGAAAAAAATGTGGTCCTCCAGAGAAATAACTCTTGCTTTTTACATTTAGAGGACCACCAAAGGAGCTAAGATGATAGAGCGACTGAAGAAGAAGTTGTCTGAACAAGAATCACTTCTGCTCCTCATGTCCCCAAACATAGCATTCCGAGTGGCCAACAGAAATGGCAAAGTGAGTCAGATGGACAGATAAAAACAAAAAAGCATAATTTGTCTATCTGATTAGGATTTCAAGTGAAACATCAAGTAGTTCTGTCTGTAGCATTTCTAAGCTTGGCTTCTGCTGCCCTCTGTTGTTGACAGCCCCAAATTACAGAGTGGAGCCTCCATTATTTTGCTTTTTTTGCCTTTTAGGGATTCACATTTTTAATCTCCTCTGATTATGAGCGAGCAGAGTGGAGAGAGATCGTGCGAGAGCAGCAGAAGAAGTGTAATTATATTTCATTTTATACCAACTTTTTGTGTCACAATAGCTGAGATCTCTAGTTTCTCACACCAAGACTGTGTCTCTCAGGCTTTAAGAGCTTCTCTTTGACCTCTCTGGAGCTGCAGATGCTCACAAACTCATGTGTGAAACTCCAAACTGTTCACTCTATTCCAATGACAATGAATAAGGAAGGTGAGCCACCACTATACTGCACTTTTGACTTAGCTCACTGGAATATATACTACAACATTTGTTGTTTTTTCTATATTTAAATGTAAAATCTTCCTGAACAGACGAAGAATCCTCTGGTTTATATGGCTTCCTGAATGTCATCGTCCACTCTGCATCAGGACTCAAGCAAAGCTTAAGTGAGTCTTTATATCTCCTATAAAAAGCCACATCATTGCTCTTGATGATTGTCACCTTCTTTGTTGCATGTGCAGGGACACGATGTAAAAGTTACCTTTGAATATGTCCATGGCTCCCTAAACAAAAGCCTACATGCAAATTCTTTTGTTTTATTTAAAGTTAATTTGATAGAGCCTTGTATACAGTAACATAGACAAACTGACTAAACAGAGGTATAATGCCCTAATTAGTTTATCCTTTGGCTTAATTACACAGGCTAGTTGGAGAAATTTTTATTATGAGGCAGGGAGAATTAGACTAGATGTGTAAAAAAAAAAAAAAACTGACAATACACTAACTCTTATGCAGATACTCGGTTCTTCTCACAAAATTCCACCATCTTGCACCCTGTTATTCTTGGGTGCAGGAAAGGCTTTTGATCACCTCGAGTGGAAATATTTGTGGAGAGTTCTAAAAGAATTTAAAGTTGGAGGGAAATTTTACAGCTATGATTCAAACATCATACTGAAATCCAACAGCAAGAATGTACATGGGAGGAGCATTCTCTGAGCTTTTCCACATTAGAAGAGGGAGTCGTCAAGGAAACCCATTGTCACCCATGGCATTTAATTTCTGTATTGAGCCGCTCGCACAATTAATTAGACATTTTCTATAAAAATATCACATATTACAGTTAGATAATCAAGTCTTACCGTATCATTATATGCCGATAACACTTATATTTATATGGCGAATGTCCAGCAGTCACTTCCTCATATCTTAGAAAAATTGCAACTGTTTTGGTATCTTTCAGGATATAAGGTTAACTATTCTAAAACAGCTCTGATACTAATTAATACTGACAAGCACAATACTTTGCCACTACAGATACAAACGATGAAGAAAGTTACATATTTGGGCTTTCAAATTTGTAATGATTCATCATTCATAGCTACAAGCAACTATTTATCTGTTTTAAAGAACATTAAATAAGATACCAATAGGTGGGCACATCTCCCAGCATCAGTCACAGCTAGAATAGCAGTAGTAGCACTATTGACATATATGTTAATGATATTTCAAGCTGTGAAGAAATATTTAAAATGTACACAATGTTGGTATCAATTGTCACCTTTCTGGAACAATAGGCTGTTTTTATCAGGTGGGAAGCCATTATCACACCGAGACAGGAATGGTAAAGGAATTAAAGTCCTACGGGACATTAAGGATGGAAGTCAATACCGAGTTTCCAAGAATTTGTTTCTAAATATAATATTGTTCTATTCTTTTACGGGATAAGATCTGCATGTAAGGGAGGGAGGAAGGGTGGGGGGAGGCTGTGGATAGGGAAGGATGGAGGGGGAGGAAGGTTAAAACTCAATAATTTTGTACACCAAAGTGTCATTGTTTAAGCTTTAATTTTAACAATCTTAATAAAAAAAAAATTACAGATTCTTAAAGATTTGATTTTACTTTGAGTCTACTCTTGACAAATGTTCTACTTTTAGATCTTTACTGCTCCCTGGAGGTGGACTCCTACGGCTACTTTGTCAACAAAGCCAAGACACGTGTGTACAGGGACTCCACAGTGCCCAGCTGGAATGAGGTGCGACTCTGTTAACAAGTATAGAATTTCTATTAAGATTAACTTCACGTGACATATTTTTGTTTTGTTTGTTTTTTTCTTGGAAGGAGTTTGAGATCGAGCTGGAGGGCTCTCAGACTCTAAGGCTGCTGTGCTACGAGAAGTGCTGCCCCAAAACCAAACAGAGCAAAGAGGAGGGAGAGATTACAGATAAGATTGTGGCCAAAGGACAAATTAAGGTACTGAAAGTGATGCAAGTTACAGAGAAGGCTTCCTGTGGCTTACTTGAAATATAACTAAATATGCTGATTGCATAATCTTCTTGCAATTAGAGTCCAATATATTAATTATAATATATTAACCTAAAAAATGAATAAGAATCAGTATACAGTATGAATATTTTCACATTTGTTTGCATTAAAACTATATAACCTATTGGGAATTTTTATTATAGACAGTGCAAAAACAGTGCACAACAAGTGCACAAGCTGTGCAAAATGGAAAATGATAAAATTCATTCAAGCTGTAATTTTGTTTTACAAATAAAAAAAATAAAAGTCCAAAGTGTGATATTTGTGTTCAGCCCCCATGAGCTGATGTTTTGTAGAACAGCTTCAAGTCTTTTGGATTTTTTTCTTTGAACATGTTTGCACACCAAGCCCAAATTCAATGAAAGATTGAAGCACATGTTTGCGTATTTTTAGATTCTTAAGACAGATTCTAGTTCATATCATGGTTTCGACTTGGACTCGCCTACTCTAAGTCAGAGCATGCTTGTTTCTAAGCCATTTAATTTAAAGTCTGGCGCTATATGCTAATCTCGGCCTCAGTCTCAAGTCTTTATCAGCCTTACAGTTTTTTTTGCTGTAATTACCTTAATCCTTTCCTTTTTTATCTGTATTTCACCCAAAGCAGATGTGTTTTAGTTGTTGACGTGTCTCTATTCCTGTCTGACTCATGGCATTCCTTTAAAATTGCTGCGTAGGACCAACCAAAATAGACCGGGGGTCTACCTCTGTCAGAGCTATGCAAGCACATTTGCAGAGAATCTTGTGGGGTCTGACCAGCCCATGAATTTCATTAAGATGTACAGCAATTGCCATGCCTTTATACAAAATGATTTTCTAGCAGATAGGACGTGTGTCTGCTGTAACGTGGCTTTTAGACCAACACCCACTTTGCTGTGGTAATGGTAAACAACCCTTGGAGAGTGGAGTTAACACAAAACAAAACAAAGGGAATATAGAGTTGGTGTTCCTGTGAAAGGCTGCAGGAATCCTAATGTTCTGCATGTATGTCATTTTTGCTGAAGGTTATTTTTTATTAAAAATGAACTTTAAAGATTAATTGATAATTGAAGCAAGTTTTTTTTACGGAATCTCCTAAGCAATTGAGTTATTGACGGCATAATTTTTATCATTAGAGCTTTAGGTTAATGTTTTACAATGATTAAAGAGGATCTTCTAAAGCCACATGAATCTCATGTAACACTAGGTTGCCAGTTGATAAAAAAATTTTATGTGAGAAATTAGCTTTTGTCTTAGTCTAATGGTTGGTTACTCTATTTTGGTGTCTTTGTTAGCTAATCCCATTATTTTACTGCTGTAGAAGTAAGTCATGAGGGTGCTTCTGGGTCAGTAAAGCTCGACCTGACGATTGTGTGTTGTGACAGCGAGGGATTAGACTTTGGGCTAACCAAATGTAGCTGTTGGCACTGCTCTGCTGCTTGACACCAGGAGTGAGACGCTGAATGCTTGTTGGCTTCTTCCTCTATCCTTAATATATCTAGAGTTCCTTGTGAAAGTATACATACCTGGTAAACATTTTCATGTTTTTTTATCTTAACAACCACAAGGTTGGACTAGCAACACCATTAACTGGATACTGTTTGACCTGTAGAGTCAAAGACAAATTTAAACAGAACCTTAAACATAAACATAATATTTTATATAATTTACATTTACTTTAGTTCAACATAAATTGGAATAAATCTGTTCTTTAAATCAGTCTGGTAAGGGATCAGAACCATTTCTCAGGATTTTGGCCTACATTCAACAACAGTGAGTGTTATCCTTAAACATAAAAATTTTTAATATCTTTTTTCAGGAGTAACTGTAATGCCATTTTTTTTTTTTCAAATGCCAACTTTTACGTCATATAAGAAACCAGACCATCATTCAATTTTTTAGGCCCCACCTGCAGGAGTTAAGGTAAAAATAAATAGGGCAAAACACATTGTTGAACCACTGTAGAAGAGAAATGGCCAACTGGTGATACTGGTCTTAAGTGAACCAGCAGATCTACCTCAAAATGCCTATAAAAAATAAAAATGTTAGGGTGTTGTATAATAGAGCATTTTAATCAAGCTGAGGTACTCTGGCATTACTTAAATTGGCCTTTTTAAGTATGCAAACCCTTAAATAACACTGCAAAAAAATGGGTCCTGTTTGGTTTGAATGGCTTTCCTACGTCCTGCATTGATTTATCTTTAGAACCACTTTTTGTAAATTAGTCTTACAGATTTTTGTCAGAAAGTCATATGTGTTCATGATTTAACTAGTTTAAATGCAAAAAAGGAGGAAAAAATCTGATAAAGGGGGAGAGAAAAGTTTATTTTTCACAGCCGTTATTTTTCACAGCAGTTTAAGACCTATGAGGGGCAATTCAGATAATCTGCCTCTTTAAAAATTACCCTTCATAGTTTTAAACTTTGTAGAAGCCTTTTAAAGCCTTGTAATGAAGAGCTTGTCTCATGTGTGGCTAAAAGTCTTTTTTAAGAGGACTTGTTTGAGTCTCATTGGTTTTTATCTTTGTTCCAAATTAATTATTTCACTGTTAGATTTAATTCGTGAAACAAACCGATTCTTTCTGGAAGAGCATTTTGCTTTTTAATTATGTATTTAAAAGTTTAAAAGAGCGCTCTTCCTAACCACTATTATTGTGGGGTTTATTTTAATATGAACAGGCCAAAAACAGGATTCTGATTTGAAAAGAGATCCTGGTGTAAGATGAAAGTGTGCTGAGATCTGCCTTGGAGGAAAACAAAGGATTGCAATCATTCTTATTTCATTCTTATAGCCTGGACTTTAGAGAATACTTCAGAGCTTTAGTAGATGTGGCACGTGCCCTTGTGTGACAGGGCAGTCTTACTAATACCTATTTGGTCTAAGAGGATCGTTTTTGGTTACCTTAGATGCTGCCTGCCAGAATGTTTATAGCAGCAGGCGAGAGCACGTTGGTAGAAGGGTAGGAGGGGATTCTCAGGGTTAATCCTACAAATCCATTTGGGAAGTAGAACAACACAGAAGGCAAGTGTTAGTGGCCAGGCTGCCTGGCTTTTTAGCATTAGGGAAAATGCAAGAGTCTAATGGCTTGTTAAGAGTCGAGGAACATAATCAAGATTCGTCAACACGGAGTCAAGGGGTCGTTATTCTGGGATTCCAATGTTTCTACTTCTATTACTGCTGCGGTATAGAGACTAGCAGTATTTCATAGGGCTTTGCGGCTTTCTTGGTATTGTTTAGTTGGAGAGACAAACATAAAACTACTGCCAGATGAGATGGGTGAGAACAGCCTTAATGAGGAGGAAAGTACGATTTGGGCCATCAGCGGGTTTGACAAAGAGGGAGACCCGGTTGTAAGGAGGCCCCTGGGTTCAGGAGCACGTCTTTGGGAAAGGGTCCGCAACAGTCTGCTCAAACCAAAGGTAAAGAGTTAGTAAAAGGGTGAATTACTGTCTAGGATGACCAACGGTTCTCTTAAAGTCTTGGAGTTTTGATTCAACCTGTTTTAGTTCCACCAACATTGTGTTATATTTCCTGGGCCTGATTAACTCTTAATCAGAACAATTTACTGCCTCCAGTTATTTTATTCTGACTTTTGATTTTTTTTTAAAAAAAGCTGTTATATAAGAAAATAGGTTATTTTCTTTAAAAAAAAAAAGGATTATCAGAGATTCAAATGTTTCTTGGGTGAAAGAATATCTGCCACATTGCTCAGGACCAGAGCTGAGCAATGAGACATGATGCTCTCTCATTACTCATCAGGTCTGATGACTGATTCTTCCGGTTTCTCATCACTTACCCCCGATTCCACATACTCCCCCCCCCAGATTCCACATACTCTGTCAGCGCTCCGCCCCACTCACGTACGTCCTGCGGAGCACTTGTCTGTCATGTTAATCAATGAGTACTGTCCCACATCCACCGCTACTCCTCCGCACGTCACCGTCCACGTACGTCCTCTCCATCCGTCAACGACAAAATATGGAGCCAAGTTATTTTTTGCTTTGGTCCGGCCAGGTCAAGATCCGCTATTACCATCGCACCAAACAGGAAAAAGAACGGCGAGAAGATCCGGTTTGTCAAATTAAAATATAGTAACAACAGATTGGTAACTACAAATTAGAGCATAATTCTTATATATTATTTTTTTTTTTTTTAACTACCGGTAACACTGTTTATTTAAATGATTGGATGCAAACTATTGGTTATTCACCAACCAGGATGCAGATTTCTCATCTTCATCAAAATATTTATTTTATACCGAGTGGCTTAAAAGTTTAATCAAATCCAGTCAAAAAAAAACTTCTTATTGCAGGAACGGATGAGGAGATGCTGAGTTTGGGAGTAGAAAACAAAGTTCCTTAAAAAAAAAAAAAAACAGTTTCGAATGATCCTAGCTATCCCCGTTACAAAACTCTACAACAAAAATAAAATGTTTGGGCAGGAACTGCACATATTTTAATGCTGATTTATTTTTTTTTTTTTAATGCTTCATTTTAAATTGAGCGTTAAAAAGTTAAATACCACAAAACAACAATGATAATTGCTTAAGCCTCTTATTTAATTATCTAAAACATACATAAAACTAAGACTGATAAAACTGAAAAGACTAAAGAATCCCTTCTGGTCCTTTTGATACCATAGTTGAGCAGCTCTGTTTGATTCAAACTTGTTTTTTTGATGATGTAGTACTTAATATTTTGAGTTTATTGGTCAGACTGCATGCAGATGGAGCAGTTGTTGGTGCGCTCGACCATGTACGGAGGCCTTAGTCCTAGACGCGGCCGACCCGAATCCTACTGTCAGAAAAATGAGCTACTAGTGCCGTAAAAAAAATAAATAAATAAATAAAAAAGTTATTCGCCAAAGAATGAAGGCCTGATCTATCACAACTATTTTTTTGGGGGGGGGCTAAGATTTACTGTTCCAAGTTGGCCGAATTGTATATGATCTAGTTTAGCTCAACACAGACATCAGTTCATCACTTTTTATTCGATATGAACTCATAATTGATAAAATACCTCTCTTTGTAATACTACTAGCTGCAAACATTTAGTGTGTCATATTTTCATTTGTTGTGAAATGTCATTATTTCACAAGCATGATTCACAGCTTGAATTCTGTGGGCCTTTAAATTAACGTCAACTCCCAGAAGAGATGACAAATAAATCACGTTTTTTTCAAAGCAGTGTGTGTCATTTGTTCTTTTATTTTAACATTTTTGTGAGAAAAAAACAACAGATTTCGTAGGTGAAATTTGTGAGATTAGATTTTTTTCAGCCACGTGCCTAAACCTGTTTTTTTTTTTTTTTTATCATAGACATAATTTAAAATGAGCAGAACATAGAAAGCATCAATAAATCAGATTTCTTTGTATTTTTCTAGCTGGATCCTCAAACTCTACAGAATAAAGATTGGCAGAGAATAGTCATTGCCATGAACGGGGTAAGTTTTATTCTCCAGTTTGCACCTGATGCACCTGTCACTACAATACTGCAGATGACTTTGAATGTGACCAATGTTAGGAAAACTACGATAAGAATAGATCATTTTATTTATGATTAGAGCAGATGATCAAAGTCTAACGGTTACCCATGATTAAGTCGACATAGTAAGGGGGAAGTGGTGCTTTGATTCTGCTCTTAATAACATATATCTTTCTTAAATAGAACAAACGATCTATGATAAAATAACTTATGCATACATTAGAGCAGCAATGTTGCTGCTCTAACGTATGCATGAGGAGTAACTAACAACTAGCAAATGCAAGGTAAATTAAATTAGGGTGTATTACTATAAAATATCCATCTGTCCATCCATTTTCTAACACGCTTATCCCAAGTGGGGTCACGAGGGGTGCTGGTGCGGGGTATACCCTGGACAGGTCGCCAGTCCATCGCAATATTACTATAAGATATGGTTATGCTAATGTCCTGTAGTCTGAATGGGGTATAGCAGATATGATTTCAGGCTGATTGCAGGATATATATATGTAAATAATGATCCCACAATTTCATCAGTTGCTTTCTCTGACCTTTTGTAGATTGAGGTGAAGCTGTCAATGAAATTTACCAGCAGGGAGTTCAGCTTAAAGCGAATGCCTTCACGGAAGCAGTCTGGTGTCTTTGGAGTAAAAATTCAAGTTGTCACAAAGTAAGTTGCTTGTATTTTGTTTGGTATTAAGCTTTTTAAATTAATCTTCCACATATCAGTGTCTCTGTATGTACGGAATGAAAGATTCTGTACTGAAAAGGTTTGTCTGCCTCATACAGTGTCTTGGTTTTCCACATCTCTCTTGGCTTTAGGCGGGAACGCTCCAAAGTTCCACTAATTGTTCGGCAGTGTGTGGAGGAGATTGAGAGACGTGGGATGGATGAAGTGGGGATCTACAGAGTGTCTGGTGTTGCCACTGACATCCAGGCCTTAAAGGCTGCTTTTGACTCGAGTTCGTTTGATTTCAATTTGTTCCGTTAGTGCTCTGTCATGGAAACGTATGACATGATAAGAGGAAGAAGTCTAAGCATTTTAACACACCAGGTCACTCTGCTGCTTGTCTTGTTCTGTCTACAGACAATAGGGATGTATCGGTTATGATGAGGGAGATGGACGTAAATGCAATTGCTGGAACTCTGAAGCTGTATTTCCGTGAGCTGCCAGAGCCTCTCTTCACCGATGAGTTATATCCAAACTTTGCTGGAGGCATCGGTCAGTCTTCCTGGTTTTATCCTTTCAGTATTGTCATCAGCCATTCTTTAAGTTTTTGTTCTGATTGCTGACAATCTGTCTTTGTCTTTCAGCTCTCTCTGACAGTGTGGCAAAGGAGAGCTGCATGCTCAACCTGCTGCTATCTCTGCCAGAGCCAAACCTGGTGACTTTTCTCTTTCTACTAGACCACTTAAAAAGGTAAAAAGTTGCTTTGTTGGATGAAGTTCTAAAGAATGTGTCTTGATGTTTCTGTGTACCTGTATTTAAGAGACCAGGCACCAGTATGAGATTTTTAAATTAAATCTAGAAAAAAAGACCTTTAGCAAAGTATGCAGGACTCATCTTTGTCCAAATCATCAGTTTGTTTTTTAAATTAAAATTGTACTACTTTAGGGTCAGCTATCAAAACACAGTTAAAATATGTTTTAGGAGATGGCTTCTGGTGATAGAGCTAAGCAGACGTAGTTGAGATAGCTCCAAGGAAATGTGATGAGAATTGTTATGTTTTCATACTCACTATTACAGAGTTTTCTATTATTACAATTCAATGTGCTTCTTTTTTTTTTGCGGGTCACCCAATTATTTCATCTGACTTTGGCAACGTTTTGAACTTCATCAGTGATGACTGCTGCTAATGGCCAGGTCAGTGCTACTTTAAATGTGGCGACCTTCACTGACCAGCTGTGTATATTGGAGGCAGGGCTCTTTGGGAAAAAATGAATCAGTGGTTGCTTCGTTGAAAACTGAAATATCCTCAGTGCACAAAGAACTGACCTCATCTACCAGTGGCCACACTAGATTAGCATGATTACCAGCTAATCGAAATAGAACACACTGCTGTTTTATGCGGAGACTCTGTCCAAGACCTGCACAGTACCGTTCCCACTTTTCAGTTGAGGTGTCATCCTAAAAAGCTAAATGTGAGGACTTGGAAAAGCGAGCTAGACGAAATAAAAGAAGATTGATTCCCTTCGATGAGGGCGTGGAGGGTTCTCAAGCTTCTAGCTGGCTAAGTCAATGGCTACAGTATACTGTGGATCTCAGCTTGCTTTGTTTTAGGATGCAGGACTCTGTAGGCTCCATCTATGGCTGGTTCAAAGAGTGGTGAGGCACCACGACCAGTGATTGTACGTCTGTTATATCAGAGGGATACGTTGGTGAAGATTCTCATTCATCCAGGCCATAGTCATTTGACAAAAGTAAAAAAAAAAATAATCCACTGGACTTTGTTTCCAAGTTTGAAGACATTTCGATTCCCATCCAGGAAGCTTTGTCAATTCAAATAGTCAAAAATAGCATTGAGTTCAAGGCTTTATAGAGCTGACCAAAGCAAAGCCTTGTTTTGGCTTAGAAACATGGAAATTGAACCTGACCAGCGGGTCCGCCCCTTGGAATGGGGGTCGTTTGGTTTCTTGGTAGCCTGTAATACCCGAAACCTGAAATTTGAGAGATAGACAGGATTCCAGAGAGTGAGTCTAGAGAAAGGGCATCCATACTGTTAGCATATCAATTGATACAGACCTCCACATCCAATTCATTTCCAAAAATAACTACTCCACCAGGTGTAGTGCTGACCCCTTATAAATAAATAATATATTTAAAGACTTCTATAGTACTCTCTACTCATCCCAACATAAAACTGACCCTCAGGCATTGCCATCTGTCTTTCATCAAATAAGAAGACAAATGCCTATTATTACTTCTTATCAAAAGAAGTCCATTGAGCAGACTCTCCAAGGAGATGAAATTATTAAGGAAATCCATACTATGCAATCTGGGAAGTCTCCTGGTCCCGACAAACTGCCTATAGAATTTTATAAGAAAAATAAATGTTATAGTTAATTTTATAAGAAGTTCTCCACCCAAATTCTGCCTCTTCGATTAAACATGTTTTATTGATTCTTATTGATGAAACGCCGACCCCCCTCTCTCAGACAAGCCTCCATTTTCTTAATACTGAAGAAAAATAAAGATCCGTATCACTACTCTTCATACCGCCCTATATCACTTCTAAACGCAGACATCAAAGGGGAACGCCGTTTTTTTTTTTTACATCGGGCCCTTGATTTACGTTATTACATCATGTTCTACTTACCCATATGAGTTTTTGTGTTGTGACAGGCAGCGTGGGCCACAGGCGGCTACGCTCTACCCCTTATATTCATTCAGCTAGCTAATCTGAATTGTTTAATTCCATTTCGATAGCGAGATCATTTGTGGTAGTAGCACTAGACATCTTCCAGGCATGTGAGTAAAACTAGCAGCAGTTCAGCGGACAGGATGAATGAAAGGTAGCCGGCGTGCCCGGATGACGTCACACACACCCGCTTTGTTTAAAAAATATATAAATATAAAAAATATAACCGTGGATCTCTGGGGGACAGTGATTCGCCTACATGTTATGAATGCTGGCGTACCATAAATGATAAATTATGAACAGCTTAGTTTGTGCTTTCAAGTTGTTGCCCATAGGAAGATGTTACTTGGATATAACCTAACCGAATATCTTCAGAACAGCTCTAAATGACACAAAACTTATATGGTTGAGTAGAACATGATATAATAACTTAAAATCAAGTCCCAATGTAAGAAAACCAGCGTTCCCCTTTAAGATTCTTGCTAAGGCCCTGTCTCTTAGGTTAGAACTTGTTCTTACTTTATAATGCATCCAGATCAAACTGGTTTTATCAAAAACAGACACTCTTTTTTTTTTATATATATTCTATGTCTTTATAATATTATTTATGAAAACAGTTTTCAATGTCCTGAGGTAGTCATATCTATGGATGCTGAGAAGGCCTTCAACAGATCGTTTTACCTTTCTTTCTAACTTTGGCTTTGGCGAGGGCTTTCTTGCTTCTGTGTGGCTTCTATACACCTCTCCCCTATCTTCAGTGCCCACAAACGGTATTTTTTCTGAATGCTTAGCCCTACACAGGGGAACCCTCCTTTTTGTTGTGGCAATTGAACCTACATTACGCACGCAGGAGGCTTTTAAGGGCATTGTCCGCTATGGTGTATAACAGAAAGTGTCTTTATATGACGATGATCTCCTTTTATACGTTTCCAATCCAATTGAGTCTATGCCACATATACTTGAAACTTTAACATCTTTTGGGGCTATATCAGGATATTAACTCAATCTTGAATAAAGCGAAGTCTTACCTGTTAACCAAACCACCTCTTCTAATGTACTGTCTTGCCTACCCTTTAAAGTGGCGAAAAATGGTTTCAAATACCTGGGCATAGCCATCTCTCACAAGTTCAATAAGAAAAACTGTGAAGCCCTTCTTTCACGTGTGAAAGATGATCTGAGCCCCTCACTTCAGCTTGTAGAATAAACTCTGTAAAAATGAATGTCCTTCCTAAATTTCTCTATTTATTTCCTTGTATCCCATTGTTATCTCAATCTATTTTCCACCGCTTGGATGTGGCAATTTCACAGTTCATTTGGAACAAAAGGGTCCCAAGTCTACGTAAGATGTAATCACTTGGGATTTAAAACAACATCTCATGGTCCCCTGTTTCCCCCCTCTATGAAGCCTTGTGCTTTCAGGCTATGGTACCAGAAGGGCCTAACCATAGGAAGGGATTTGTTTGTAGATGGTAGATTTGCCCTTACACAAGTACTTACAAGTACGACATTATAGAAAGGATTTTCCAACAATGCCTGCAGATATCTCAATTAATAGGATTTTTAAGCTGCCCCTCTTGATCAAAGGCCTTGTACCCACGCTGTATAGAGATATACACTCTCTGTGTTCTTCTCCTGACCAGTCTTTTAACCCTCTGGTCCCAGTATCTGGGGCCAGATCGGACACTGGCCTGGGGGTCTATTTTTGGCCATGTTCACTCATCTTCAGTGTGTGCTAGGCACGGGGTAACTCAATGTACAGTTATACACAGTGCATACTGGACGAAGGCTAGAGTTTTTCGTGTTCATCCCAATACTGACCCTATTTGTGACAGATGTCCCCCGCACCGTGGGACTCTGGTCCATATGTTTTGGACATGTCCATCCTTATATGCATACTGGTGTTCTGTAGTCTCTTCCGTCTCAGATGTGCTGCAGATACAATTAGAGCCATGCCCAATTGTGGCCTTGTTGGAGCCCTTCCTAGCACAGTCAAAATATCCAGTTCTAGACTTTAGAGCATTTCTTTTTCTCTTAGCTAGGAGGTTAACTTTGATTTACTGGAAGGCTAGACACCCTCCCTCACACTCCTTATGAATAAGAGATGTTCTGCTGTTCTCAAAGCTGGAAAAGATAAGACACTTGAAGAAGGGTGCTGTGTCAAAATTTGATAAAGTTTGACAGTCATTTCTCACTTATCTTAAATTCCCTGAACCTACAACCCCCAGAGGCTTCTTAATTTAGAAATGGCAACGTAGTAGCCTGTAGCCTAATTTCTCCCTTTCTTTATCCCTTACTCATTTGTTTTTGACCTAAATCTGTATCCCCCAACGAAATTTTATTTTATTTTTTTCATTTTTATTTTTGTTTTTTTTTTGTTTTTGGTTTATTGTCTTGGTTAATTAACATTAGCACAGCCTAAGCTCAGGGTGGGAGGGGAGGGTGTGGGTGTTTGTAATTGTTTTCCTTTATTAATGCTTTTCTTATTTTTATACTAAACTGATCAGTCTATCACTGCATGCATCTGATTTATACTTTAAATTATTGCGTGGTCTTTGTTAGTGCAGAAACTAAAATAAACCTTGGGGGAAAAAAGATGTTTTAGGGGGTCCAGGGTTTGGCTTCATTTTAATTTGAACAATTTAGTTTCTAATTTCAATTCCCAGTTGGAACCAGGTTCCTATCAATTAGTTTCTTTTTAAGGAATAGTCCTAGAAGTTAACATGTGTATGCTGGCTGACCAGAGCTGGTCTGGATCAGGATTTTAGCTTGGAATATTTCATAGGGTGTACACCTTTGTGTATCATATCTTTAGGTTTTTGACGGCATAGGGATGTCCAAAATTTTTGAAATTTGGACTCAGAAATTTGGAATTAGAAATTTTCTTGCAATTAGCTATTTCTTGCATTTTGAGGTAGAATGCAGATGACTTTTTGTCTTTGTTACAACACTACTTTTGTTCTGATTAAGGGAAATATGTGTGCTTGAGTAGAGGTGTAACTTTGATAAGACATGAGATCATTTTTAGGTACAATATTATGTTTCATATGTTAATTCAAGCAAT